CTCTCTCTCTCTCTCTCTCTCTCTCTCTCTCTCTCTCTCTCTCTCTCTCTCTCTCTCTCTCTCTCTCTCTCTCTCTCTCTTTTTTAAATTTCTCTCCCTCTCTTTTTGTCTTTCTCTCGCACTCATAACAATAAATGGAATAAAACTCTCTCTCTCTCTCTCTTGAGCAAAGCATTCCTGGACCATCCCCTTTGATTCAGGCTTTTGTCACCTTCTTCTCCCCGATGGATCATTCACAAAAGATCCCTCACATTCCTGCAAAGCAAAACACAAAATAGAGCAATAATACACACGGGAGGTGAGTAACACACCATTTCGTGCTTTAAACAAGTTCTTCACTGCCGCCTAGCTCCTAGGACTCCTCAAGAATCTGCTGCTAGCTGAGGTCTGTCCATCATTCTGCGTGGATACGCATGAACTCGGAGGGGTGCCGTCAACACCGGATGCTTCAGCCATCGTCACCGGGGAGCAGTCACCCAGTGGTCTGACGTAGAACGACAAGGTAGTTTGCCTAGCTTCCTTCGTGCATCTCACACGAGCATCAGACTCCATGGACTTCCTCTTCTTCCGGGTTGCCTCAGTGACAAATCTGGGAGGGAGAATCAGTTGGGCCATGGTGCGAGGGAACTTGTGCATTATCAAGGCCCTATCATCCAAGATATTATCGGGTCTCCTGGTGGGATCAGACAAGGCATTGAAGGCCATGGACTCCATGATTTCCCTCATGTGCCTGAATACTACACTAGCAAGCATAGAAGCACGCCATCTGGACTTCAGGAGGACCCTAAATGCCCTAGCACGAGCCCTCAGCGGGGAGGCAGACGGAAACAAGTACTCAAGATTAGCAAGCAAATACCAAAAAATATGGTCCAACCACGTGATGTTTTTCTTGCAGTCACCCTTGCCCTCCTGGATGCAGCAACACTTCAAGTAGGGCCGCCCAACAATCCATATGCGCTTTAGCTCAACCAGCGTTGGCTCTCCTTTTGCACCCAAAAACCCTCTAACCGCAAGCACAAGCCTTGTAACTACACACTTTGCACCATCAATCTCCCCAATCGGAGAAAAATTCATATCGGCAGCTATGAGCTATGAATCCCCCGCGGTCATGATCGCGGGGTCAATCTCGGCCCGCGGTCTGGATCCCGACCTTTGAGGCCGGCTGCGGGCGGGGGGCTGTGGTCCGGATTTTATAATATTTTTTTGTATTAAATAAATATAAAAAATAAATAAAAAATATGGGGTTGTAGGGTTTGAAAATACCTACAACCCCATTTTTTTTTTTTGGGATTATGAAGTGTTTTTTAATTAAAAAAAAAAAAATAAAAAAAAAATAAGTATTTTAGTAAAAACGAAACGTAATAAAAAAAAGAAATTTTTAATTTTTCGTGTGTGTGTGTGTGTGTTTGTGTGTGTGTGTGTGTGTGTGTGTGTGTATGTGTGTGTGTGTGTGT